CATCTGTTCAATTTTAAAAATGTTTATACCTTAGTTTATCCTTCTCTATAGATCTTTATAGATATCTCTATAGATCCTTTTCTATAGATATAGTCTTTTTACTGTGTCAAATTCAAGTATTTCCAGGTAACTATAAGTCGATGAAAATTCAAGGTAAGCTATTTAATAATTATTGATTATTGAACTTAGCAAGAAAAATTGGAGGCACCGACGAGATATTAATATTAAAAGCCGAAAATCCAATTATAGTATTCCATTAAAGTTACCTGGTTTGCAAAAAAATCGAAGTATGCATTTTTATGTTGTAAATGAAAAACTACAAGGAAGTTTTATTTGTATTCAGATTATTTTCATGTAAAATTCCTTCTTAAACTCTGGTTTCTATTATACATTTTTTAAATATATGTTTGAAGTTTGCACGACATCTGTACATAACTATATTGTACGTAATTTTATTCTTTAAGGTAAAATAAATATGTTAAAAAGGAAATCATCAGCTCCATTAATGTATCGAACTCAAATCAAGCAAACTGGAAGATTTGCTGGAACTGTTGGCGATGTTTTAACGTCAGAAAATTTAGAGAAAATTCTTATATTAAAATCAAATCTGCAAAGATGTTGTGACAAGCTTGAAGAATATTATTATGGATGTTCTATTCTTGAAGATTTTGATGAAGAATGAGTTTAAAAATTTGTCTGAGGCTCAGGATTTGTCAGACGAATCATTGGTTAAAATAGAAACATATCTAAATTCATTTAATAAAGAATCACAGTTCAATGATGATAAGACAATAAAATCTGCCACATCCTATGTGAATATAAAGCTTCGGAAGTATGATCTTCCAACGTTTTCTAGCCAGTTTGAATCCTGGTTGAGTTTGAAATCCATATTTTTAAGTTCTGTTGATTCTAATGCATCTTTAACTGCCATTCAAAAATTGCAATATGTTCAAAGTGCAATTTCGTCTGATGCTGCAAGACTTATTAGGGGATTCGCAATAACCTCTGAATAGCTCTGAATATAAAAATGCTTGGGACACTTTACTCGACAGATATGGTAACCGAAGGGAATTAGGATTTTCTAAGTGTAGAAAATTATTTAATTTAAAATTTGTAAAACCAACATTTGATTGCATTCGAACAATGATAGATACCTGCAATGAAGTTATTCGGAATTTTAAAACACTTGGTCTAGAATGCAATCAGTTAGTCGAAATTCTTCTAATATTTGCGTTACAAGATAAGCTAGAAGATTCACTTAAAATCAAGTGGGAATTAACGCTAGAGAATAAAACATTTCCATCTTTAAAAAATTTTCTTTCGTTTTTGGAAAAACAAGCTAGAAGCCTTCAGAGCGTAAAAGGAAATTATAAAATTCCAGACAAATCAGTAAAATTAATTAACAAAACTTTTGCTCTTAAAACAAGTTAAGGCAGGATTCTTGTGCACTTTGCCAATTACCACATCTTTTACATAAGTGCGAGAAATTTCTTAAATTGAATATTGATGAGCATTTATAACTTTATACGAAAAGAAAAACCTTTGTTTTAACTGTCTGAGACCAAATCATGGTGTATCCTCATGCCGATTCACTACATCTTGCAGGGCGTGTAAACAGAAACATCACACAATTTTTCATGCTTTTCGAACTCATAAAAATCATTCTGCTGAAAGTTAAGTACAGTCAACCCCAAAAGGTCCATCACAAAATCAGCCTTTATATCAACCTTCGGTTGGTACCTCGGAAGAGCAGCAGTTTTGCTTCACTGGGAATGTAAAAAATTCTAATTTAATTTTACTTGCCATAGCTGTAATAAGAATATAAAATAATCAAGGACAATTTCTCGAATGCCGTGCTCTAATTGACAGTGGTTCTTAAAAATCTTTAATCACTGCGTAGTGTTGTAATCGACTAAAACTTTCATTTCAAAAGTCTCAACACACTATTCTAGGACTTGATGATACAGTTGCTGCACGTGTTACGAAAGTAGCTAATTTAAATTTTACTCCCCCTTTTAATAACGAGAACTTTTCTGTTAAGGCTTTAGTAGTCAAAAAGCTGACGTCAAATTTACCAAAATTTGATCTATCAGAATTCAATTGGCTTCATTTGAAAGAATTACAATTAGCAGACCCTTCTTTTCACAAAAGTAGACGGATTGATATCATTCTGAGTCGGAATAATTCTTAGATTTAAGTCAAGCTGAAAAGATGGTGGGAATTAAAAAAACATCCGCTCTAATTCAAAATTGGGTTGGCTCATTCAGGAAGGATGTCCGTTTCAAAGAGAATTCAAAATTTTTTAATTAATTGTGATGCTTTAGTAGACATTGAAAATTTAATGAAAAAATTCTGGGACGTCGAATCAGTTCCAGAAGTGAGTAGACTGAATAATGAAGAGCAAGATGTCGAGGCATTTTATTTAAATCACACTAGTCGAAATTCTGATGGTAGATTTGTTGTCAGCCTCCCATTTAACAATAAAGCTCTATTGGGTGATTCAAGAATTCAAGCTAAGAAGCAGTTCTTTGCCTTGGAAAGAAAAGTTCAACAGTATCCAGAGCTTAAAACTAAATACATTTGATGCGGGAGTATCAAACGATGAATTCTACTCAGATTGTTCCAAATGTTGATTTTTCAAAATCATTGTCAGAGTTTTTCTGTTTACCTCACTTACCAAATTACGGGTTGTATTCGACGGTTCTGCAAAGTCTGATTCAAAAGTTTCTTTAAATGATGTTCTCCATACTGGTCCGAAACTTCGAAATGAATTGTTTGACATCCTATTGAAATTTAGAACTCATTGTATCACTTTCACTAGAGATATTGACAAAATGTTCCGACAAATCCTAGTCAATAAAAATGACGTTGGTTTCCAGAGAATCTTTTGGAGAGAAAATCCTGAAGAACCGCTTAAAGAATTCCGAAGTTACGTATGGAACTTCTTGTGCTTCATATTTGGCTATTCGGACATTAAACCAACTTGTCATGGAGGAACAAACGAATTTTCCAGAAGCTTCGAGAGTCATACTGGAAGATACCTATGCAGATGATGTTCTCACAGAAGCGAAGAATAATAAGGAAGCAAAACAGTTAGGTTTCACAAATTATCGAATTAATGAAGACAGGCAGTCTTCCAATAAGAAAATGGGTATCTAATGAACCGTCAGTCATTTAATTTTTACCCCAAGAACTAAAAAGCCGAACGAACCTTTGGCAAAGTGAAGAAAGTCAAATCCATACAATTCTAGGAATCATTTGGGATGCTAAAGAAGATGTATTCAGAATTAGAATAAACCCACCTATGGATGGTGTTTTAACAAAACTTCAACTTCTGTCAACTATCGCGAAAATTTGTGAACCTCTTGGGTTTTTATTACCTGCAATGATTCAATTAAAAATCTTAATGCAGCATTTATGGAAGAAAAATATTGAATGAGATGATTTATTACCTAATGATATTTCTCAAACATGGAATCTCTTTAAATATCAAATAGAATATTTAGCTGAAATCAAGATTTCACGTTTCATGATAAAAACAGTTCTATTAAAAATATTCAATTAATTGGCTTTTGCGATGCGTCTGAACATGCCTATGCTGCAGTGTTTTATCTAAGAACAATATTCGAAAATGGAACATTCTACGTTTCTTTGATTACTTCAAAAACAAAAGTTGCTTCTGTGAAGACAATAACATTGCCAAGACTCGAACTATGTGCAGCGCTTCTCCTTTCTAGACTATATAAAGTTGTTTCAACATCCTTAAGGAAGAATATTCACATTGATCAGATTATTTTATATTCAGACTCAAAACTCAAAAATAGTTTTAGATTGGCTTAGTTCATCTCCTAAAAGGTGGAAAAGTTTTGTTGCTAATAGAATATAAAAAATTCAAGACTCAACTTAAGAAGCTTCATGGAATTACGTGAAAAATCAAGAACATCCAGCAGATTGTGCCTCCAAGGTATTTCTGCATTAAAACTGAAACGTCACACTTTGTGGTGGCATGATCCTCAATGGTTGTATCAGCATAATATGCTCCCTCAGCCTAGAGATCAACAGGAAGCATATGTAGATGATATCAGATGCGAAGAAAAGAAATCGTTTCGGTCAGTCAACGTCACCATTTCCGATACAAATCCTAGTCAATAAAAATGACGTTGGTTTCCAGAGAATCTTTTGGAGAGAAAATCCTGAAGAACCGCCTTAAAGAATCCTTAAAGAATTCCGACAGTTACGTATGCACTCCTTGTACTTCATATTTGGCTATTCGGACATTAAAACAACTTGCATGGGAACAAACGAATTTTAGCTTGAAGTGACTGAAGATACCTATGCAGATGATGTTCTCACAGAAGCGAAGAATAATAAGGAAGCAAAACAGTTAGGTCTCACAAATTATCGAATTAATGAAATTCACATTGAATAAGTCAACGTCACCATTTCAGATACACCTGAAGTTACTGCTATGTTAGAAATTATTTCAAAATTCCATCGTTTTCAAAATGCATTAGAATAATTTCGTGATGTTTAAGATTCATTAGAAATTGTAAAATACAAGCTCAGAGTTAAGAATCAAATGTGTATTATCACCTGGAGAGCTTGAAGAAGCAACTAAATCTATAATTAAGCTCATTCAAAAATCAAAATTCAAGCTTGAGTACAACTACTTACAAAAGAGACTCCTCCTTTCCTCAAAACATTAAACTGATTCTCTGAGCCCCTGAATGTTTTCCTTGATGCAGAGGGAATTAGTAGGAAGAGGGTTAATAAACACAGATCACAATCAAAACCATCAAATTCTTATACCAAAATATCAACATTTCGCTAGTCTATTAATACAATATTTTCACAAAATGCATTTACATAGTGGTCCTTTACTTGCTTTGTATTGTATCCGTCAAAAGTATTGGATACCCTCTAGAAAAGATGCAGTGGGACGAATTCTATCTAAATGTTTGACTTGCATAAAACTGAAGTCGTAACCATGCCATACCATTATGGGAGACTTGCTTTCTAGTAGATTTAGTGTTGGCAGAACATTTCTTAACGTTGGACTTGATTTTAGTGGACCATTCATTAGAAAACCTAACCTGGCACGCAGCAGAGTAAGAATTAAATCGTACATTGGTCTTTTTATTTGCTTTGCCACTAAAGCAATTCATCTCGAGGTTGTTTCAGACTTACCAACAGATGCCTTTCTAGCGGCTTTAAGACGGTTTATCTCTAGACGTGGAAGGCCGGTAAATCTGTATTCTGATAACGCAACGAATTTTCGAGGAGCAGCAACCCACATAAAATACCAATCAGTGCTTCTCAATTCTGCTAAAATTCAAAACTTTGAAGCTCAAGAATCTATTGTATGGCATTTTATCCCACCTTCAGCTCCACATTTCGGAGGACTGTGGGAGACTGGAATCAAATCTGCGAAGCAACATTTATTCGAAGTTTTCAAGTCAGCTCTCTTAACTTTTGAGGAACCTACCACTCTAGTAATACAGATTGAAGCATGTCTAAATTCTAGGCCACTGCCTCCTCTTCTTCAGATCCTCAGGATTTCGAACCGCTTACTCCAGGACACTTTTTAATAGGTGCTCCTGTAACTTCCTTTCCTGAGAAAGCTAGAGTTGGCGTCTTTCGTTAAGCTAGAGTTTCGTCGTTCGCTAAGCTAGAGTTAGCGTCTTTCGTTAAGCTAGAGTTTCGTCGTTCGCTAAGCTAGAGTTAGCGTCTTTCGTTAAGCTAGAGTTTCGTCGTTCGCTAAGCTAGAGTTCGTTAAGCTAGAGTTTCGTCGTCGCGAAAAGCTAGAGTTTCGTCGTTCGTTGGCTAGAGTTAGTGTCTTTCGTTAGCGCTGTAAGTCGACATTTTGTCGCTCCGTCTTTCAAGTCCTTTTCAGCGGATTACTTCAGTCCACACTGCCAAAAGTAACATCAACGGAAGTGCATTACGTAAGGAACATAACAATACCAAATTTTTGATGCTGTGATCATTAGTTCCTGTTTAATTAATTTTTTCAAATATTCGTAATATCTACCATTCACCGCGGACTTTCATCAGAGCTTAGAAGCCCCTGGAGAAGCCCTTGCTTTCTCGACGTCTAAGTGTCTTACATCAATATACGCACGACATCCTGAGGAATAATTTGGTGCAAGTTTCAAGTGAATCGGTCGATTAGTTAATTAATTACGAGCAAAAGTATGGTTTTCAAACGTTGCAAGCACACTGAAACGAGAGTCATCGCATACCTCAGCGACCGTTGACGACGGTTAACAAAAGGAAGCTCCCCTCCCCCAGAGCAACAAAGGGAACTGAGAGTTTTTAATTATCTTCATAACCCTGCTAATTACCATCGTATCTTAATAGTACCAGAACGGAAGTTATTTTCATCGCCTGAATGACACAAGATTCTAAATTTCAAGTTAATCGGACAATTAGTTGAATTTTTTACAACTTTTTTCGCCTAATTTTGCCTTTTCGGACTTAGCGACCTGTTAACCAAAGAAAGTTGCCTCCCTCGGCAATACAAGGTACTTGAAGATTTTAATTAATTCAATTACTCAACTAATTAGCATCGTACCTTCACAGAGCCATGTCTAAAGTCGATCTCATCGTTTGCGCGACACAAGTTTAAAAAAAAAAAAAATTAAGAAAATCGGTCATTTCTATAGTTTTTTTTTTTTTTAACTATTTCTAACGAATTTGTGAACTTCAACTAAGTGCCTCATTAATTAGTGCCTGGAGTTTTCTTCGTGTTTTAGTGTTGTGCTTGTGTTGTGCCAGTGTTTCAGCTTTGTGCGATCAACAACAACGCTAATTGGATTCCAATACACAGTGTGTTTCTTCAGCTTACTTGTGTGTTTCTAACTTCTTGTGTGTTCCTTACTGTATTACCATTATACTTACAAGCACAAAAGAACAGATGAAGTTTTGTGGCCAAGGTATGCGACTATTTACATACATTTAATTACGCTGTCAGCTAGTTTTAATTATCTCAATTTTACTCAGAATCTTGGAATTTCTTCTCAAATTGCCTTAATAGTGATTATGCTTACTTTCATTCAAATTTTAAATCTATGTGTTTATATTACATCTAAGTATTTTTGACAATATAGTTCTTTTGCTGACAACTTTAATTGGTTTATTAGGACACAACTCATCTATCCAGTATTATTAGCTTTATTTCATTACCTTACCATTATTAAATCATTATAAGATTTTTTTTTGTAATAATTAGCTTTGTAACTTTTCAATATAGCAAATTGAATTCCCATAAGCTAGTTCTTGCATAGTTGAAATTACGATCTGACTGGTCCTTGTGTAATTAGCGTTAAGTTTTGCAATTTAGTCTTTTGTATAGCCTACCTGTTTTTGCATAAATAGTGTTTATTTTGATCGGATTACCGGTACAAACGCCATTTTCAAGGATTATGCATACAAATGTAATGTCTAAACCATTGCATTAATTGGCTAACTAATTGTACGAATATGTGTGTCCTCAATATCAAAGGCCAGGATTTACTGAAACCATTAGCAATTATAATAGTAAGCAATACTTCCTAATTGACTGTATTCTGGTTAATCTCACCATATCTGATTCTTATATATGAATTAATCCATTCCTTGTCCTTCATATTTGATTTATACCGTATCCAGATTATTATTGATTGTTCTTATCGTTATATGATTGATTTAATCTGTATAGCTACATTTAATTGATTGCCCGCAATTTATTGTTCTTCCCTGTATTCCTGTTTCATACCATTCAAACACCCGCAATCGATGAGCACACAACTTACCACACACATTAATCATCTGTAAATCTTTAGTGACTGTCAACTAGTGACTCTGTGACTTAGTGACTTCCAACTATATAACAACTCCTCAGTGTCTGCCATCGTCGTCTCTGTGACTTTGCGAAGTAGTGACTACCAACTATATAGCACTTCAACTGTGACTCTTCAGCAACTGCGCGTGCAATAGTGCGTGCGCAACTCTAGTGACTCGACCTCTCAAGCAATTTCCTAGTGTGCTTACCACATTTAGGGACTCTAAGCTTGGTCCTTGCAGCGCACAGCGCAACGGTGCTCCTTCACAAAATGCCAAATACAGATACCTCATACTACGTCAGCAAACTCAATTTGGACGCAATCCTAGACTCCACCTCTCTCTCTCACGAAGATAAAATTTCTGCCCTGCACGAGGAGTGCCTCGAAATCTGTACATCTAAACGAACCGGCCGGCACTTACTGCCAACCAACTTAAGAGAAACTTTAGTGCGGTTCCTGCAAGCGCTCAAGACCTTAGCCCTAAGCGGCCCCAATCTAAAGACAACAAAAGATTGCGCGACCAACACGGACCACGTCCCTTCTCCACCAAGGAATACTACGGACTTTGAATTGGCCAGCACCAACCAAAACAGCAGGCTCCAACCAGCCTGTCACCCAACCTACGCTCAGGCTCTGACCCACGCATTTCAACCCCCGCCTACTCTGCTCATCTATCCACAAGAACAAGCCACGAGCAATACACTACGACATAAACTCGCAGAAGAATTTCCCCTTTCGCAGATTGGCATCAAGGTGCGCAAGATCCGGCATATACAGAACGGAGGTATCGCTGTTGAGTGTGCCACCCAAGCAGACCTCTCCAAACTCTCCACCACGCTTCAAAGCGACAAAGGCAAACAGCTCGTCTCAACAAAGTTTCCTGTCACAAGATCCCCGCGCATAGCCATACACAATATCCCAACCTCCCTGCAGAAGGAAGAACTCGCGAACATCATAGAATTGGAATTCAGCCTCAACAAAACAGCGTTCAAACTATTACACCGGCTTAAAGACAAGAATAATAATGTCAAGTGGATCGCCGAATGCCAACCACCTGCCTTCAGACAAATTATGCAAACTGGCCGCATCTACATCGGATGGCATGCGCACAGGATCACAGAATATTTCAGTACCAAACGCTGTTACAGATGTCAAGAGTTTGGCCACCTACAACAAGACTGCCACAACAAGGAATACTGCGCCTTCTGCTCCGGCGCACATAACGTCAAAGACTGCGCCGCGATCCATCCAACATGCATCAACTGCGCAGATTTCAATCACAAGACAAAAGGCACAATCCCTTGTGGACACCCAGCGTACCACCCCACCTGTCCAACCTACCAGAAGTACATCGAGAGGATTCGACGCAGCACCAACTACTAATCCTACCATACCCCAACCAAGTCAGTCTTACCCAAATTCTGCACAAGCTTACAATCTCCCACTTCAGAGCTCCAGATCGTGTCACAATCTGCCGCCAGGTCACTCCCCACCAGTTATATGCAATTTAACAGTCACAACTCCAGACAGCCTCCTCAAGTGCATTCAAATAAATTTGCAACGAGCAAAGGCGGCAACCATACAAGCAACAGCACATGCCATTCCAAAACGATACCGACATCCTTCTCATTCAGGAGCCTTATTGCAAGAACGGCCAAGTAGCTTCCTTCCCGCTTTCCTGGAGAACAATCCAAGTGAACGAAAATACCCAAGCCCCACGAGCAGCCATCATAATATGCAACCCGATTTGGACTCCCGTAATAGTAACAACAGAAAGAGACTGTGTCGCTATCCTCTTCGAAACTTCAGACATGAGTTTCATCCTCAGCTCCATCTACTCCTCCCCCGCGGACACCATCACAGAAGCAACTGCCGCAATGGACAGAATTCGTCTCAAATGCCCTTCCGCTCCCACCATCTTCAGCGGTGACTTTAATGCCCATCACACAATCTGGGGCTATACCGACATCAATAGGAAAGGTCAAGAATTTGAAGACTACATAGCCGCCAACAACCTCCACCTTCACAATTCCATAGATGCCCCCCCTACGTTTGACAACACCTACAACAAAGGATGGCCAGACCTGACCCTTACCAGCAACAACGCCAGCCACTTATTGCAAAACTGGGAGGTGTCAGACGATTGTAGCCTGTCGGATCACAAATACATCCACTTCAGTATCAGCACCAGCACCACCATCCCAATACTTAAACGCTACAGACTACCGAAAGCAAAAATCAAGACACTGAAAAGGCAACTTCACGACCTACTTAGCAGAGAACTTCCATCACTGCAGAGCTGCCACAACGCCGCAGACCTCGACCAGTACACAAACCATCTAACGCAGGAGCTACAAAAATGCTGTGACAGTACTCTCCCCATCCGCACAGCCAAGAAAATCCAAGGTCTTTCATGGTGGTCGAAGGACCTTCGCCAGCAACGCCAAAAATGCCGGGCACTAAGACGCCGCCTTACCAAAGCAGACACCCCAGAGGAACGCGCCTTCTTCCTAACACAGTTCAGAAAAGAGAGAGCTACATACAAACGAAGCATACTGACTGCAAAAACTACCACCTGGAAGAAATTCTGCAGCGAGAACTCTGATCCCTTCGGAATTCTCCACAAAATCTCAACAAGCAAAGTTTTTCGACCCCACCAAATCTACTTGCAGCAACAAACTGCCAACTCGAACACCAGCCTTACCTCAAACACTGCTGCAATTATCTTGAGCACCGTCTTTCCCTCAGATAACCCAGCTGATGAT